TATATATATATATATATATATATATATATATATCATAAAGGTAGGTACTAGAAAAATGTCTTCTACATCTACTGCAATAGCTTGAAAAAATACACTTTTTTTTTTTCCCCAGAAAGAGAATCAGGAAACTCTTCATAATGCTATGTTTATTGGTGGAAGTAGAGTACTGGGTACTCAATGAAAAACAACCAATTTCTCTTAGTACATATTAAATCCAGAATCACAGTAGTCAACATTCACATTTATTTTAACAGCAATATAGATGAGGAAGTTATTTAAAATTGATTTACCAAATAATAAATAATTGGTGCCTTACCACATATTTTACATTCAACAGGAAGTTCACAGTACTTTGCACGACACTGTGGGCAAAAATAGCCTCCTAATGTAAGTCCTGGCTCAGTGTTGTTATCCAAATGCCTGTGGGGGAAAAAAATTACTTTGGAAAAGTGATATATACATAAAGATGAAAAAGTTGGAGCTAAAAAAAGTATATTACCTTTCTTTATCTTCAACTCTGGATTCTATTTTATAATCTATTAAAATTTATTTGAAAATATGTGAGTATATCTTATAGATCATTTAATGCTATATTCATTTTTTGTCTTTTTTTCCTCTCCTTTTTTATTTTGACATTTGTCTGTCTTTAAATTCACTAATCTTCTATTGTGACTAATCTGTTATTAATCCTTATCCATTGTATTTTTTCATCTATCCTATCCAATCCAATGTATTCTTCATTTCTAAAATTTTGACTTGTATTTTTTTTATACTTTCATATCTCTTATCATTCTCAAGTTCTCCTCTACTTTCCTAAACTTATGGAGTATATTTACAATTGCTATTTTAATATCTTTGCTTACTAATTCTATCAACTGTGTTTTTTTCTAGCTATGTTTCCAGTCTATAATTTTTCTCATTTTTATAGGTCATATTTTGTCTTCTAAGCCTAGTCATTTTTTTGTTTTTGCAGTACCGGGGATTGAACCCAGGGCCTTTCTATCATTGAGCCTCCTTGACCCATCCCTTTTTATTTTTGATTTAGGGACAGCATCTTGCTAAGTTGCTGAGGCTGGCCTGGAAATCACTATATTCCTCCTCAGCCTTTCCAGTTGCTGGGATTATAGGTGTGTGCTACTAGGCCCAGAACCTAGTTTTTCTTTCTTTCATTTTTGATTGGCTGCTAGACAATAAGAATTTTACTTTGATTTGAGAACTAGATTTTTTTAATGACTTTAAATATTTTGGGCTCAGTTCTGCAGTATACTTAAGTAACTTGAAAATAATTTTATCTATTCAAAACCTGCTTTTAAGCATTGTTTGGCTGGTCCGGAGCAGCCAATAATCTAGGATTAATGGGGTTCTGCTATTGTGGATTCTATTAAATGTCTGCCACAAAAAGAGGTCTTTCACACAAACTGGTGAGAACATGAACTGTCCTTTGCCCTGTAGGAACTCTGGGGATTGGTCTATTTGCTGGTTTCCAGTGGTTTCCCTGATTTCCAATACTTTCCTCATACAAATATACTGATCGACACTCAGCTAAAGACTGATGAGCAAGTCTCTGCTCATGGGATCTCCAGAGAGTTCTTCTGTGCAACTTTTTCCTCTCTGACAAAATTATAGCTTTCTCAGCCTCCCCAAATGCAGAACTTTGTCACTTAATACCCAAACTCTGCATTGCAACCTGGAAATTCTAGGTAGTAAGTGAAGCAGACATAGGGCCTACCTCACTCATTTCCTTTCTTTCAGGAACCATTATCTATACTGCCTATTGTCTTATGTCTGAAAACCATTATTTTATGTATTTTGTCTGGTTTTGAGGGGAGGACAATAAATATGGGTAAATCTAGTCTGTTACTCCTTTATGAGGAGGTCTTGACTATGACTCTGAATATTCACTTTCCAAATTTAAAACAAGGTATACTCAGAAAAGTCTATGTTCTATGACCTTGCCTTTTCCCACACACATCCACCAAGGTAAACTTTTTTTTTTTTTTGAGAGAGAGAGAATTTTTTTAATATTTATTTATTTATTTTTAGTTTTCGGTGGACACAACATCTTTATTTTATTTTTATGTGGTGCTGAGGATTGAACCCCCGTGCATGCCAGGCAAGCGCACTACTGCTTGAGCCACATCCCCAGCCCAAGGTAAACATTTTTTAGTTTTCACTTTCTATTTCCATTATTATTGCTTTTATTATTAACATGAACAAGTGTGTATATCTATTCATATCTCCACCTTCTTTTTAGATGACTGGTAGCATATTACACACCTCTATCTATCTTGCTTTTTTACTTAGTGATATATTTGAAAAGGTCACACCATAGAAGCATATAGTCATTCCTTTTTATGGCAACATAGAAAGTAATCGTCTATAGAAGTCAACATATAAAGTAATCTTCTATAAAGCCAATCTTCTATATCTCAGACGCATTTAAAAATTTATAACTTAGCAGAAGGAATTTAAAATATTAAAATATCACTGACAATAGATCTTTACTTACGCCATGCTGAAAGAGGGTTTTGCATCTTGATCAGACAAAGAAGCAATGGTGTGCTGAGGAAACCCTTCATAGAAAAAAAAATGTATTGATTTCTTTCTCCAAGCAAAGAACAGAATTCTAGGTCTAAGGAACTAAAAATGTTTCTACCTAAAACAACAAAGTTGTACAAAAAGTCTCTTTTCTGCCTCTTAAAAATATACACTTATTTTAGTATGATACACTGATCATTTCCAAGCTACAAATAGGTGAAAAACCTGTCTGTGTATGAAATCGAGTCTAAAGCTCATATCTGCATTTTTAACTTAATACTAATTATATTGCTTTTTAAAAAGAAAAGTAGGTCATAAGTTTTATATACTTTTACAATGCAAGCTTATATTACCTAGTTCTTTTTCACTTTATCTAAGCAAATATTTTTATGTTTAAAATTTTGGCTGGGATTGTGGCTTGGTGGTAGAGCACGTGCCTTGCACGTGAGGCACTAGGTTCAATCCTCAGCACCACATAAAAATAAATAAAGATATTGTGTCCATCAACAAGTAAAAAATATGTATGTATTTAAAAAAAATTTCATGAAGTTTGCTTTATTTATATAATACTAAATTCTGAAAACAGGAAATGCAGAGACTATTAAATTATTGTTATTATAAATTATATATTATTATAAATTATTTTTTAAAAGTTCTCATTACATAAAACTTTTAAATATATCTACAAACAAATAAATCAGCTGGGCAGAGTGGTGCATGCCTGTAATTCCAGCAATTCAAGAGGCTGAGGCAGGAGGATCATCAGTTCAAGCCCAGCTTCAGCAACTTAGCAAGGCCCTAATCAACTCAGCAAGACCTAGTCCCTAATAAAATTGGAAAAAAAAAAAAAAAAGGGCTGGGGATGTGGCTTGGTGGTTAAGCATCCTGGGTTGAATCCCTGGTACCAAAAAAATAAATAAATAAATACAAAAATAAAATCAACAAGAGAGTAGCTGAGTGGTAGAGCGCATGCTTAGTATGCAAAAGTCCCTGAGTTTAATCCCCAGCATCACAAAAAACAAACAAAATACATAAAAGTAAAGGTGGCACAGTGGAGCATGCCAATTTTCATAGTTACTTGGGAAACTGAGGAAGGAGAATTCCTTGACCCCAGAAATTCAAGTCCAGCCTGAGCAATATAACAAGATCCTGTCACAAAAAAAAAAAAAAAAAAAAAGTAAAGATGAATGACTAACTAGAAACATCTGTGCATCAGGTGATTAAAGGACTCTAAAGTTCTAAAGGACTCTAACAAATCAGTTTGAAGAACAAATTATAATTTCAAACAATAACTTTAAAATGGAATAGAAGCTAAATCAGTAAATCAAATAAACTTAGCCATCATAATATCTAAAATGTACTGAATGTTATATCAAGCAATATTCTAAATGTTTTATTTGTATTAATTCAGTCTCTGCAACACACAGTTAGGTAGATACTAATATTATATTATAATTTAAAAAAATAGGAAAGACAGGTTGACCAGTTATAGCCAAAAATAAAGTAGAAAAGCATTTCATCTCATTGACATTTTAAAAGCATATTAAACAAGCAAAGTTATATTTAAAAGTTATATATTTTTTCAATTAAAGGGTAACAAACTTTATTATAAAATATTTAGAAGACACAGGAAAACAAGCTTTTACACACACACACACACACACACACACACACACACACACGGGATTGAACCCAAGGACACTGAACCACCAAACCATATCCCCAGCCCTTTTTTGTATTTAATTTAGAGACAGGGCCTTACTAAATTGCTGAGGCTGGCTTTGAACTCTCAATCCTCCTGCCTCAGCCTCCTAAACCACTGGGATTACAGGAATATGCCACCACACCCAGCTACAAAGCAATTTTTTTTAATGGCCCCAAACCAAACATTTTATCTCTCCAGAAAAAAATGACTGAGCAGTCTGGTGTATTTCCCTGTAATCCTCTGTCTTTGCACAATTTATATTACACAGTTTTTTATGTTTGTTTGTTTTTGGTAAAAGGGACTTAACCATTGAGCCACATCCACAACCTTTTTTAATTTTTGAGACAGGGTCTCACTAAGTTGCTCAGGGTCTCACTAAGTTGCTGAGGCTGGCTTTGATCCTCCTACCTCAGCTTCCCAAATTGCTGGGATTACAGATGTGAGCCATCCTTGTATTAAACAGATTTAATAACATAATCCAGAGATTTTGTAGCTTATTTTAAAAATGTCTTAATGCAAGTATTTTTCTTTAAAACACAATACATTCATACCTTTCTAGCTAAATGATAAAGAAAGCCAGGAGTATTGTGTAGGTGACAAGAACTACGGGTAGTTTTAATTTTCTTTACTTCTCTGTATTTTCTAAAATTGTTATATTAATAAGTTTATTTTCTTAAATGTTAACTTACACAAATGAAAACAGAAAGCCTAGTTTGAAGCAAAGTATGCATTTTTAAAATTACACAAAATAAACACATACCCATACGAATGAGTGAGCATTCAGAACTTGAGCTGGCAGGAGGAGGACTAACATGATGTGTTAGCAATTCTTTGTAATGGCTTTCATCTAAAATAACATGGTATGTGCCTAACATGAAAAGCAAAAGAAAAAATACCAGCTTTGTAGACATAAGAAAAAATTATAATTTCTATATAATTCTATAAAAATTTTATCATCTGAAAATGTAATTTTAAAAATAATGATTTTTAGCTAAATTATCATTTTTTAAAAAACTTATTTAAGTAATATCTCTAAATCAACTTCTCTAGGAATAATAGTAATTATAATTTAGAACAGTAATTATAATTTAGTAAAAGCAAAGTTATAAAATCTTTATAAAGATTTACAATGAAATTTTAACTTTTTAAGAGTTATAATACTTTCTCTAAACACTGACATAATGACTAAAAATTCACTGCATTTTGAAATGATTTCTTATAGAATCAATAATATATTTCAGATGACTGTTCATATATTGGGCATGGGATAGGAAATTATATAAGTTTAGTGGTGTAAAGCAGATTAAAGCACTCTAATTAATGTTATTTCTTTGACAGTAATTATGAATAAATATTGAAGACAATAGATACATACCACCAGTTTCACGAGCAAGTACAGTGCAAACTCGAACCTCTGCAGATAACCCAATAACAGACACTCTAATTTTAGCTGCCTTTAGGGTCTTCATAAAATTCAAGAAAATAAAAGATTTTAAGGGAAGAAGAAAAATAATTAAGAATTAATGTATTTGGAAAATAATGCTCTGAAAGCTAATAATAAATTCACTACAGAATTTTCTTTAGAGCTGTAACTTCAGTTTTGATATATTGGTTCTACCTTGATTAGATCATAAATATTAGATGGATCACAAGTTGTAAGGCTGCTAAAAATGATTAGGACTTCTCTACTTGTATGTCCAGGCATGTGTCTAAAGAAAGATAAAATACACTCCAATTAGGTCAACAAATAAAACTAGCAAAAGATTTATCTAGAGAGAACATTACACATAGCTTACACATTTAGACCACAGAATACCTAATTTGTTTCAACACTGCATAGTAATGAATTTTTAGTATATTTTGAACTTTTTTTTGGTACTAGAGATTGAACTCAGGGGCACTTAACCCCTAAGCCACATCCCCAGCCTTTTTTATGAGATAGGGTCTTGCTAAGTTGTTGAGGCTGGCTTTGCACTCCTGATAGTCCTGGCTCAGCCTCCCAAACCACTGGGATTACAGGCATGTAACACCATGCCCAGCATTTTAACCACTTTAATATAAATTTTTCTTTCTATTTTCTCCCCCAGTGCTAGGGATGGAACCCAGGGCCTCATACATGACAGGCAAGCCCTAAACCAATAAGCTATATCCCAAGCTCTAATATAAATTCTTCAAAAATTAGGTATACCCAGTTGTGGTTGTCAGACCTGTAATCCCAATGACACAAGAGGCCAAGACAAGAGGATTGCCAAGTTTGAAACCAGCCTCAGCAACTTAGTGAGGCCCTGATTGTCCAGCCTCAGGAAATTAGCAAATTAGCAAGACTCTGTCTCAAAATAAAAAATAAAAAGTACTAGGGATGTGGTTCAGTGGTTAAGCATCTCTGGGTTCAATCCTCAGTACTAAAGGAAAAAAAAAAGATATCATTCATCTACTAAAATGTAAAATAAAATTACCAAAATAAATATCATACATGATATTACATATTTTTCCTACTTAACTATTTTGTTATAACTGGCTTTACAGAGACCCATGTTAATATATTATCATTTCAATTTAACTGATTCAAAAAACTTTTAAGCCAATTATAAATAAGAAATATAAAATACCAACTTTAGAGTTTGCATAGCCATGCTTAGGGAATTATAAAGAGATGGTTCTCCATGACAGGTCATATCAACAGCTTTCTTCAAAGATGTTATATGTTTCCTTGGGTTTCCTAAAATAAAAATAGAATAACCTAGTTTTAATAAAATGCTATGTATATATAACATGAAAATATATACTTTTTTCTAAAATTTACATATTTATGATATTAAATAACAGACTGCCATATATATATATATATATATATATATCAAGTTGCACTTTTATCAGAAATATTTGGTAGATAATCTCACTTCCTATTGAAAACCAGAACACAAATAATTGTCTCTTTATATCCAACAGCACACATTTTTAAATAATATTAACCAAGAGCATATGCATACTTTTTTTACTCTTCATATTTCCATAGTTCATCTTTTTTTTTTCCTCCCTAGAATTGGAAACCGAACCCAGAACTTTGTACATGCTAGGCAAGTGCTCTATCACTAAGCTACATCCCCAGCCTTTTTTATTTTTATAAAGAACTTGCAAAACTGCTCTGGCTGGCCTCAAAACTGTGATCCTTCTGCCTCAGGCTTCCAGGTAGGTGAGATTACAGATGTGTACCAACACAAGGCCATAGATCATCATTTTAAAGACCAATATATTTCCACATTTTAAATCTCTGAAATCAGCATGTCTTATTATCACTGGTAGGTGAGCAGCTTTCATGACATAATTGTTGCTGCCTACTCAAGTGTGAGCCTATGAATAGCTCTTCATATGATTTTGCTTCAGTTACACTATATACAATACTTTGTGCTACTCAGGTCAAGTACAACTGCCATAAAAATGTTTTTCGAAAATTTATTAAGCAGAGTGTGGTGGCCCATACCTGTAATCCCAATGACTCAGGAGGCTGAGGCAAGCCTCAGCAATTCAGTAAGGTAATGTCTCAAAATAAAAAATAAAAAAAAGAATGAGGATGTAGTTCAGGAGTAAAGCACCTCTGTTTCAAGCCTCAGTATTAAAAAACAAAAAATTAAGTGAAAGATTAAGTGGATTGTATGAATAATGAAGTTATTTTAATATTTTCAGGATAACAATATACATGTCTTAAACACATTTACATTTAACATAATATTATTATTCACTACTGTGGAGACTTCAACGTAAAACAGTTCATCCTGGCTGGGGGTGTAGTTCAGGGGTCCAGCACTTGCCTAGCATGTACAAAGACCTGGGTTCAATCCCCAGCAAAGCAAAAAAAAAAGAATTAAATTAAATTAAATACAACAACAGTTAATCTTAGATCCCAAGAGATTAACAGGGGTGGAAAGTGACATTATTAAGTTGTTTCACCTACAAAGCACAGAGGACAACTTCATATTACTTATTAGGCAACCCCTATGAACAGGATTAAAAAAATTGGATAATTAAAACAAATTCCTTGAGTCCTTAAAGGTTGTTTTATGCATACCTGAGAGTTCAGTCAGTTTTTCAGCTCTTTTACTCTTAGTTACAATTATTCCAATCTCAAAATAAAAACAAAAATGATTATTAATTTCATATAAAATTATTTCCTCTTGATAAGAATTTATTTAACTAAAATAAATTAGTACCTATAGAAGAAATAAGCAAAACAGGAGAAATTTTTTCTCAGTGTTCTGACAAATAAATTTAGCTATAAGTGATAGACCCAACCTGAACTTTTATTAAAATTGGGAGCCATCTTGCCACAAAGCCATGAAAAGCTAATTTCATATAGCTTTACTATAAATTACTGCAAATTCTGAACCTGCTTGGAATGCCTGCCCGTGCCTTGAACTCACCCATGCCTGGCTCTCTGACCCGACAGCAGCCCTCTCTGAAACTTTAGTGACACCTCATAAATATTGGCCTTCCCTGGCCAGACAACGACCCTCTCTGAGGCTCTAATGGTCCTCATAAATTCTGATGTTGGGGCCAGCAAAAAAATTGTAAACTACCATTAGTGTGATGCTTGTCAGAGTTCTGTTATCTGTAAACCCCCATTTGTGTAACTTTCTGGGCTATAAAGCTGGGCTGTAGGAAAGGTGGGGCGGCTGTTTTGTTCCCGCCGTTTTGGGAGGGAAAGGCAGCCCGGCCGGTCGAAATAATAAGCTTGCTTTAATTTGATTTTAATTGGAGTCAGTGGTCTTTTCTTGCGTCCTGGTCTAACAATAAGTTCGCTGTATATTGTTTAACTTATAGAGTTATTTTGTTTTTCATTGATAAGTGTATCAGACATGGATACACACTCTGAATCTCTTAATCATAGAATAGTCCTATTTTTAAAAAATATATGTATATGTCGCAGGAAAATTGGATTTTTATTTGAATTCTTGCACTTGTCTACATACCTGACTGATAGGATTTTGATCAAAATACTCTTCTATGAAGTATTCCAACAACTGTTTGAAGAAAACAAAAAGGAAATACTACATAAGGGAAAAATAACAACCACAAAGAACATGTCCCATTAATGTTCTGTGAAACCTATTTATCAAGCATCACTTCTCATGTTTTATTTTATTTTTAATTTTTTGAACTGCTAGGAATGGAACCCAGGACTTTGCAGACTGTAGACAAGCTCTCTGCCTCCGAGCTATATCCTCAGCCTACTTCTCGTGATTTTTAAACTTATAGATGCTATCAAAATAGTAAATAGTAAAAACATGTATTTGAAATGGTGGATGATAAGATAGAAATGAGCTAGGTTTTAAAAGATGGATTCAGGCCAGGCACAGTGAAAAGCACCTGTAATACCAGTCACTGGTGAAGCTAAGGTAGGACAATCTCCTGAGGCTATGAGCTCAAGGCCAAGCAAGATCCCATATCAAAAGAAAAGACCCATTTGGACATGTTAAAAACAATGCAAACAAGGAAAAGATCCAATGAAGCCAGGGAAGAAAAGCACAATTGGATAGTAGGCTTTTATAAATTAGGAAAGATAAGAATGAGGTTGTAAACTGACAAGACAAATTCAATTAAGTCAAAGGAGAGTGAAGACTCAGTAAAGAAAATGGATTACTCACAAAGCAAGATCCTGATTTGGGGAGGGAGGGTAGAAATTAAACACACAAATAATTAGCTATTTTGTTTTATTATTTCTCAAAATGACCAGATAGCACTTCTGCTTAGTTATCTTTTATATTAACTGAAAAAAAACTTATTACATTCTTAAATTTTTTTTCTTTAGAATTTTCTACATTTAGTATATTAAATGATTTTACAATACCTTTAAAGTGCATGTCAGTCTATTAGGCTTTAAATCTTGGTCTTCCATTGTCCTTGATGCATCCACTACCACATAAAGGTGGCGCATCTACCCAAAAAACAAGGGGATAAAGGGTAGGAAAAATTTCCAAGTACATTTTTGAGTAAGAAATAAAAGTGGCATTTAGGAAGGGCAGCAGAACAGACATTATGATTGCTGTATGTGTATAGGTGACTGTATGACCACTGTGATTCTGCAATCTGTACAATCGGAAAAATGAGAAATTATACCCCAATTGATTCAAATGTATGAATTGCCAAGATCATTATAATGTCATGATAGCTAATAAAAAAAAAGAAAGAAAAGTGGCATTTAATATTCACATATTCTGTACATAGATCTTTAATATATTCTTTTATAAGGTTTGTCTTTTACTATTGTTTAGTCTATCAAGCCAGAATGTTCCTCTAATCCAAACTATTCCATATTATAAAGGAAAAACTAATAACATACCATTCCAAGTCGCACTTGTCCATGGTGCTCAAATACTCTGTTAAAATTATACAAAAATTTTAATGGAACACCATATACTATCAAAAAACTCAATACAACTTTCCAACAAATATGTACCTTTTAGTGAAGTAAATTATTAATTTTTTAATATAATTATAAGCATTATAGATAGTTCCTGGAGACCATTTCCCAACTGATAAGACTAGGTTGCTAGTTCTTTCTACCTATTCAGACAAGAAGTTAGTTTCTCTGAAACACAGCTGAAAGGAAGTATTAAGTATGATTATAGATGGTGAAAGGCTTTATCGAATGCATTTTCCTTTTGTAACACACTTAGGAGGATTTATATACCTTTTTCTCTTTGCCTTGAAGAGAATGTCTTCTATTGTAGCTTTAAGTGAACCAGATTCATCTTCTTTAAGAATTTCCCTATAACAAATTAATTGTTTGAAAAGATAAGCTGAAAATATTAACTAGAGAAATGAAACATATATAAAAGATGTGTACATTTTTGCATGTTTTATAGCAGTATTATTCATAATAGCCAAAAACTATTATCAACCTATATGTCCATCAACTAGTGAATGGATAAACAAAAATGTGGTATAACAGCAGGTGCTGGGGTTGTGGCTCACAGGTAGAGCACTTGCCTAGCATGTATAAGGCACTGGGTTCAATCCTCATCACCACATAAAAATTAAAAATAAAGTCCATCAACAGCTAAAAAATATTAAAATAAATGTTTTAAAAAATTATTTTTAAAAATGCAGTATAACAATATAATAGAATACTATTCAGCAGCAAAAAGGAATGAAATACTAATACAAACTACAACATAGATGACCCTTGAAATAGTATGTTAAATGAATGCTAGACCCACTACACCACATATTCTATGATTACTTATGTGAAATATCCAGAAATAGAAAGTAGATTGGTGATTGGTTACAGGTAGTAGAAATGAAACCAATTATAAATAGGAATAAAGGATCTTATTAGAGTGGTTAAAATGTTCCAAAACTGGGTAGGGGATGGTGTCGTTCACCTGTAATGCCAGCAGCTCAGGAAGCTAGGCAGGAGGAATACAAGGTTTGAGACCATCCTTAACAACTTATCGAGGCCCTAAGCAACTTAGCAAGACCCTGTTTTACAAAATAAAAAGAATTGGGATGTAGCTCAGTGGTTAAGCACCTCTGGGTTTGAGCCTCAGTATCCAAAAAAAAAAAAATCCAAACTGGTTTCTAGAAATGGCTCCACAACTTAGTAAATTTTCCAAAACAAATCACTGAATTATATATTGGAAATGGGAGAATTATAGCATATGTAAAATACAGTTCACTAAATTACAAGAGAGGGAGAGAGAGGCAAAGAGACAATGTCCAAAAGAAAAAAGAGGGCAATAATGCCCTACTTACCATGTCCTCTCATAGCCTCCTTCCCACCGCTTAGTTCTTTCAGGTTCTTCATCCATATTTTTAAAAATGTATTATTCAGCATTCTGTGAAAAAAAATATATCATGAGTTTTCTAAAGATATTTGTTACAAAAATACATCCACTTATTTGAAAGTTCAAGAGAAACTTTAAAAAGTAAAAAACTGAGAATTCAGGGCATCTTATTTTAGTTTCTAGTCTATTCAACTGCTATAGGATGAAAGTACAAAACCTTCATGGAACTCTTTTTTATTTTTCTATTTCCAATAAAGAATATGAGTATTTATAAATAAACTTGGCACCAATAGAAATAAGTATATTTTTTGTTTATTTATTTTTATGTGGTGGTGAGGATTGAACCCAGTGCTTCACATGTGTAAGGCAAGCATTGTACCACTGAGCCACAAACCCAGCCCCTTGAATCTTTTTAATTGTTAAAAAAAAAAAAATGCTTTACAGATTTATTACTGGACAAGATCACAGAATTATGGGAAGTAGGTACAAGGGTAGCTAAAACAAGATTAACCACAAGTGAAAATTATTATGGCTGAGTGATAGACAATGACAATTCATGTACTCTCTCTCCACTTTTGATCAGGCTTGAATTTTCTTACAATCAAAAGTACTTATTCATTTAGGTGATGAGAATTGAACTCAGATAAGCTTTAAAGTCTCAGTGCCCCACCCCGCTTTTTTTTTTTTTTTTTGAGTCAGGGTCTTTTAAGTTGCCCAGGATGATTGAACTAACAATCCTTCTACCTCAGCTTCCAGAGTAGCTGGGATTACAAGCATGTGCCATACACCTGGCATAATCAAAAGTTTTGAAAAATGAAAGTTCACTACTTAAGGCTCATAATTCATAAGGACACAAATTAAACATACAATATGACCGCAAATATTTAAGGAAAAAAACAAAGGAAATACTGATATTCAATAAATGGCACAAGTGGTATTAACTGCATAATAGGATGAAGAGTAATTAGATTTTTTTGCTTATTTATTCTTTTCTGTATGTTCTTATTACATCAATTTCTTTCATAATTTAGGATAAAATCAATGAACAATAACCCATGAACAATAACCAAGTAATAAACATCCCTAATACCTTTATCTCCACCTTTCCCAATGCCATCTCCCTTCCTACTGCATGTTCAATTTCCTTCCTCCATAAATAAAGGATCAAAGGATTTTGGGGGTGGGGGTTGGTACTGGGGATTGAACCCAGGGGCACTTTACCACTGAGCTACATTCCCAGTCCTTTTTATTTTGAGACAGGGTCTTCCCAAGTTGCTGAGTTTGGCCTAGAACTTGTGATCCTCATACATCTACCTCCCGAGTAGCTGGGACTATAGACATTTGCTACCATGCCAGGCCAAGAAATCTTAAGTGCCAAGACACTGAGGACAATAGCATATCCTCTGTCATTGGCAGAGACAAAGATTATTTTTGTAATAAGGACCATAACCAATACTGTATCCTCTGTGTATTCACTGCTTCTATAAAAAGCTATTTTTTTAAAAAAATAGAACTGCCAGGTATGGTGGCACACACCAGTAATCCCAGTGACTCAGGAGTCTAAAGAGAAGGATTACAAGTCCAAGGTTCAACTTCAGCAACTTAGTAAGATTCTCAACAACTCACTGAGACCCTATTTAAAATAAAAAGGACTGAGAATGTAACTCAGTGGTAAAGTGCCCATGGGTTCAATCCTCAGTACCAAAAAAATAAATAATAAAATCTGAAGACCTGACCTATAAGTAGACATTTGGAATTAAAATCTACTGACAAGTTGGATGGAGCCTGCTTCTAAGGCTTCACTCCTTTTTGTGGCACCTACTGCAACAGATGTTATTAACTAAAATTCTGTATATTTCCCACTACATAAATAAACCACTCACTGTCACTGAAAGAAATCCTGAAAGTTCATCACTTAAGGCTCATAATTCATAAGGACACAAATTAAACATACAATATGACCTTGTATTGAAAGGAAACTTGGTGACTGACTTTAATATCATGAAGAACTAGATAATAGTTTTAACATCTGTGCTATTTCAGTACCCTATGTTGGTGCCTTGTAGGTTTGATGATGCGTGTAGGAGCATAATATAGAGACTAAAGTGAACATTTTGATCCTATGTTATCTGGATTTATTGTGAACATCAAGACCAGAAGGGTTGGTGTTTTAGCTCAGTGGTAGAGCACTTGCCTAGCACGTGTGAGGCTCTGGGTTCAATTCTCAGCACTACACAAAAATAAGTAAATAAAATAAAGGTACTGTGTTCACCTAGAACTAAAAAACAATATTTTTTAAAAGTCCAGAAAAGATCACAGAATGTTCTCAATATTTTTAAACTCCAATTTTTGAAAACATGGCTCCTGCCATGCATCACATCAAAATTTAAATTGTATTTTATTTTTAATTGTTTATAATTATTCATTCTCTGAAATTCATAAACAAAGTGAGAACCAATGAGTAGAAACTGCAAGCTGGAAAGGTCTCGGCTCATAGTGTACAAGGATATCTTCATTAGAAATGTCTGCAATGGTAAAACAGAGAAAGAAAAGGAGCACCATCAAACTATAGATGTACAAAAGTAAGTTGGATGTTTAGAATTCATTCTATTAATAGAGAAGAGTTTTATGCATCTTGGAGAAAGAGGTACTCTGGAAGATCTCCAATGGCTTATGAATTCCCAATAGTTCATCATCTTAAATATGTCGCTGATCCATTTCCTGGAATCCAACCCCAGAAAATCCATACCCCCCAAAGTGAGCCTAGACTTGTGATTGCTGTTAATATGAATTCGGAATGCTGCAAACAAATGGGAGCTTCCCCAAACATCACAATTTGTAAAGCTTTCCCTCACACCTTACTCTGCCAAACAAGTGATGAGACAGGCAAGGGAGATTACTGTCCCCGTTTTTCAGATATGGAACTTGAGGCACAGAAGCTGGTAACTTTTTAGAGAATACAGATGGAGGTAGGTCACCAAATCGAACCGAGCATAACTGCTAAAACTCTGCCCTAGGTTGAGAGAACCATTCCCGCAAACCGCAGCTCCGATGCTTCCCCACGGCTCCCGGCACGGAAGCCATTCTCCTCCGCCTTCACACGCTCCCTGCTACCCTACGGAGCCAGCCAGGGCAATTCAACACAACCTGGGCCCCAAGTCCCCTACTAGCCGCCTCACTTGACAGCTTGCCCGGGCAAGGCGCCGTAAGAACCTCCACGAGGCAACTCACCAATTTTGCGGCGACGATTCTCTGCCGGAAGCGCCGCCTAGTCCTAAAGGAGCGCCGCCAACGTTCTTCCGCAGCGCGCTGCAGTCACGCAGAAACGTTCCGGCTGGGAAATCGGCTGCCAAACATTCTTCCCTGAACCAACTAGCTGCTTCCTAGCTGGTCTTCACAAAGAGGCGGGAAGAGCGGTCACTGTTCACTCCTGCGAGTTCAGAGGTACAGCAACCTTCCCTTGCGAGCTCTGAGGAGTTTGATCTTGTTGATTTCTAAAGGTTGGGATGAAATACTCTAATCACGGCAGCAGGGCCAGGACCTTGCTGTGCAACGGTATTTTATTAAGCGCTTAATTTGAGCCCGATACAGTTCTAAGCGCCGAGAAAATGGTAATGAAAACTCAAAAAATCTTTGACCCGGTAGTTTTTTTTTTTTCTTCTTCTTCTTCTTCTACTAGGGGGAAAAATATTAAGAAAAACGGGCGCGGTGGCATACTCCTGTAATCTCAGCCACTCCAAGTCTGAGGGAGGAACATGGCAAATTCTAGCCCAGCCTGGGAATATTAGCAAGACCCTGCCTCAAAATAAAATTAAAAGGGCTGGGGATGTAGCTTAGTGGTAAAGCATCCTGATTCAATCACTGGGGACAGGAAGAAGGGTCAAAAATATATCAATGTATGAAGAAAAAAAAATTTTTTTCTAAAAGAAAAAGATGCTTCAACAAAGAAAAAGCACACATGGATCCAAAAAAGAAGAAAGAAATCATCTTTGGGTAAAACAAGGTCTTTATATTCATTTTCCTAAGTAAAAAAGATTTTTATATTGTTATCTAAACAGATGATGTAAAAAGTCAGAACAATTAAAAAAGAGATTTATATATACTAAACTGACTATAATTAATTTAAGGGTATTTCAGGTTATTTTCCTAATTTAACTATACTAATGTGAGCTAAAATTTTGTCCATATTTTGACATGATAAACACCTATTAAAATGTAAGTTTATTTCTTTAAAGAAAGATCCTTATTGCCTAATAATTCTTACTGTTTAACATAAAGATTAATTTTGGTAAATAAATTCACATTGTTGATTAAACATTAAATATATTGAACTACTAACTTAAATCCCGATTTTAACAATTGTCCTTAGAGACTAAAATTGATTAATTCTAAGACACTGAGATACTAATTTTTACATATTTTGTTTGTTAGATAATTATAAAATTAATAAAAAAACATTTTATTAAGACTAATGTTCTCCAAATTAAAGTTATATGTTAATTTTAAACAATAAAGGTTACAAACTTAAAAAAAAATTCATTGATATTATATAAGTTCTCTAACTAGATCTATTGTCCATAAAAAATACAGTAAGATTTATATACTGCTCCACAACTTGTTTTGAAACCCCAGATCCCTGAGCTTGTATACCACCCCTTGGGGCTGCCTAAGTTACAGCTCCCGGATCTGGATGCTAACACCTTAGATATCTTATTTCAGGAAAAAAAAAAAAAAAAATCTCTACAAAAAAGTTTAATTTAGATAAACTTCCACTTTTCATGTTGCCCTGTTTTACTTGACCACTGTCTGAAAAAATCAGCACTCCAGGTGCTGGACACCCCCTTACTAGTTTTTCACAAAAATATGTAAACAAGGCCTCTGGCCTTGAGCTGGGCTTCACAGTGCTGACTACATTTCTAAGATAAGAGAGTTACTAACTGGGCTCCATGGCAGGGGGAGGAAAGAAAAGAAAAAAAAAAAAAAAAAAAAAAAAAAAAAAAAACTGCTTTTTGTGAACTTCTGCAGACTGTGAACTTCTGAGCCTCTCCCCTTACATGTTAAGTGCAAAATTCTGAAACTACCTAAACTTGGGGTTCAGCGATTAATTGATTACAGCAGAAGCTGTGCGCTCCAAATCTAGCGGCAACTAAATAAGACTGTTTCCCTATCTTTGGTGCTATCTTAGGTGCCTTGCCTTGTCCATCACTACAACAATATAATTCTATGTACTTAAGCATTGTTCATGTTTTCATGAAATAGTAAACAAATGGGATTAATTGTGCAAAAAACAAAATATCTCTTATTGAAATGGAATAATTTGCCTAAATTCAGAAATTTACAAGGATTGGTTCAAAGTGTGAATAAAAAAGGAATTAACAGATGGGAAAGAAATTAAAAGGTTCTAAGTATGGATTTAATAGAAGGAAAGGTGTTTCTGGATAAGAGAGTCTATGTGATTAAGTAAATAAGAGGGTTTAAGCAAGAAATAAAAGGACCACCTTTTCCTTGCTTAATGACTCCAATCCCATACTTGCTAATGATTGCTGGCTCTGCATGACAACAGGGGCGGTGGTTATACCCCTAGAGGTCCCTATTAATGTCACCATGCATAGTGATAATACCTGCCAGGCCGTGCTGCCTTTCAAGGTCCAACCTATGGGCACTTTTACAGAATGTCTCCTGGGTATGATGCAAAACAACACCTATGATGTTGATGTTGGAGTGACTTCCTTTGGAAACTGGTCAATCTCAATAGCCAAGAACTATTCCTCACCCACTCCAGCCCTCTGTCCCCCTAAAGGCACTGTTTTTATGTGTGGTGGGATCTCTGCCTTCCCCCGACTCCCTGCCAACTGGACAGGTAGCTGTGTTCTCGCCTTGCTCCTCCCTGACATAACCATTGTCCCTGGGGATGAACCCCTGCCCATCCCCAGCCTAGAGACTCTAGTGAGAAGACACAGGCGAGCTATAGAGGCTCTACCGCTACTCGCCACACTGGGGATAACGGCTGCTGTGGGCACAGGCATAGCTGGACTGGGTACAGCAATACATTCTTATCGCCGTCTATCTCAGCAGCTTGTAGATGATGTGCAGACCCTATATGGCACTATTAGGGACCTACAAGACCAGATTGATTCTTTGGCAGAAGTGGTCCTCCAAAATAGGCGAGGCCTAGACTTACTGACTGCCAATCAGGGGGGAATCTGTTTAGCCTTAGGAGAAAGGTGCTGCTTCTATGCCAATAAATCGGGTATAGTTCGCACTAAAATCACGGAGCTTCAAGAAGACCTAGAGAAAAGGAGAAAAGAATTATTGAGAACCCTCTTTGGACTGGGATGAATGGGTTCCTGCCCTACCTTCTTGCCCTCCTGGGGCCCTTACTGAGTCTTCTTTTGATTGCAACCTTGGGACCTTGTGTTGCAAATAGGATAACTCAATTCATTAAGGACCAGATTAACATTTTAACCTCCAAGCCAATACAGGTTCACTACCAACGCCTGGACGACTCCGCCCACGAGGTGTACTTACAGCCCATCCGGAGATGAGATGTAACTGGACAGGGGCCAATACCCGAGCCCTTCTATGTGTGCCTGCTTCTGCCCAGGTCCCTAATTGCCCCGCCAACTTGGTGCAGTCATCCCAGACCCTTACGTTCAGAAAGCTCCCTGGTCATAGCTATCCCACTGGCAAAGATGATGACTGGGATCCGCGGTTGTGTCCTGCTGGCCATGACATCCTAACTGAAAAGTGTCCGTTTACTAGGACAAGAGCTGATCTTGTAGTACCCAGTGACGGGCAACTTCCACGCTTGCACTGCAACCTAAGCCAGGGGAATGGGGCCTCCCCAGAGACAGGTAAGCAGTGCAGGGGCGGTGGACAACCTAAGACAGGGGCTACTTGATTCCCTTTGACATGCAAAAAACAAAAAAGGGGGACTTGCTGGTGGAAGGCCTGCCCTGGCCCCTGGGGATTCAACCCCCAGTCTTTTGTTATGCATGTCAATGTGGCCAGCTCACAAGGCCCTGCAGGCTTGCAGTTTCCTGTTTATCTGCCTGGAGCACATGTGTCTCACACGGGAACATCTTGTCCTGTTGTCCTGTTCATAGCCTTCTGTTAGGGGCTGGTGGCGTAACCCAAGGACGCAGTTACCACTCTTCCCTCCTCGCTTTTGAGTAATTTCCCACAGCTGTTAATAAAGATATATAAGGAGAACAAATTTGGCAATAAAGGCGCACACGCCTCCTCCTGGATGAAGAACCTTGATGTCTTGTGTATTTGTTAACCCCACCGTCTCTCGCCGGACTCGGCTCCGTTAGCCGGACGCGGCACTGGATGTTATTTTAAAAAAAAAAAAATCCTGATCATGAACAATAAAAGTCATTGATCATAACTCCAAACTTTTTAGCTGAAAGGGTATAGTTGCAATTGCTGAGAGGCCATGAGTAAGATCAGTTCAGTTTTGGACAAATTGTTTGAGATATATACTGATACATATGGAGTTACTAGAATTTCTCACACTTGAGAAATGGAGAGGCAAGGCAACTCCCAAAGGATCAGAAAAGAGCCAGGGACTAAGGGAGAAATAGCAGAAAGGAACCTCATGAGCAGTGATCTCTTTCCTTCTCTTATCAGCATATTCATCCCTTTGTCTTTATTGTTTTGTTGGTACCCAAATCTTCCTGGTCTGCATTCTACCTCCCTCAAAATCATAAGACAGGTTTCCTACATTGTAGTAGAAAGACCACAGCTGGGTTTTAAATTACCTATCTGCAAAATGATGATAGCTACAGGGTTTGGTGGCAACTCCAATGTCATTTCCTCTGGAATGACAAGGTCTTATTGTTCAGTTTTTGTTGTCTTGAATTAACAAAGTTTTAAAGGGGGAGAAAGGGAAACTAGCATTGCTGAGTGCTACTCTCCATTTCCATATTTACTTTTAGACAAGGATATATTACCTTTAAAATTAGGTCATTACAAATATCTTTTACAGATTCAAAAACTTGAAGAACAGGAAGGTTAAGTAATTCATCCAAGGACCTACTTGAGTAACTGCTGAAGGGCAAAGCCAAGAACAGAACAGATGCTTTGCAGGCAACAAATGAGAAACTTTATGGAATACCCTTCTGCATTTTGTTGCTGTCATATAAAAACATCCTGGCCATGTAGCTGTATCATTTTTCTAACTACAAAGGGGCATAATAATTTACTGACACAATATTTTCTAAAAGCTTCTAATTATTCAAGCATTTTGCTCATTTCTTTTCAATAGAAAAAATGTTAACAATATAAAATAAGGGATTACGTACTTCTACATCTATTTTTCCTTTCACCCAAGAGGTGGTATAG